CTCACTGCCCAGAGATACGCGCGTTGCCATCCTGACTATAAACTGCTGCATGTGGACAGGGTAGTCAGACATTTGGAGTGAGCAATACCATAGTCCATCAGTGTGTTTATGGGATGTGAGGCTTACACAAATCTAATGAAAAAATACATTGCTTTACCAGATGTGAATGACGAAAAACATCCTTTTTGCCTAAGTCAGTAAGGAAGTAAAATGTATTTGCATAGAGCCTTTCACAGTCCAGGATCACAAAGCGCTTCACATTTTAAAAATCATACAGATCATAATAATACTGCACACAAGTCAGATTTAAAAACGAAGAAACTGCAGACGACACATAATGCTCAATGAAAACGCAGCTTATAATTTTGCCAGAGAGTGAATATGTTTATTGTTGTCCAAATCTTACATTTCATGCGTGTTTTGGTGTGTTGTAAAGAAGGTTGAAATTTTGCGTGCACATTTACACCACCTCCTGACCTGGCGTAATTTTTTTGCGTACCGTACGCTCACGTCCAGATTGATAAATGCCGAAAAGTGTAAATTTTCTGTGTACGCCCCATTTACACCCAGATTTGGTTGTACGCAAGTTTCATAAATGAGGACCATTGTGTCATTACATTTGATCTCATTAAACTTCAAATGGAGTGGATTTAAAATAGAATGCTAGAATGCTTGCGATTAATCGTGAGTTAACTCACCATTACAATGCGATTAATCAAATAAAATATTTTAATCAATTGACAGCCCTAATATATATATATACTGTATTTACTTACTATAACATCTAGAAAATGATACATGGAAAAAAATGTTAACGTGGCATTTAATTTGTGAGAGGCAAGTAGTTTATGGATTACTTAACAGCTCAGCCTTGTATGACCTTGGACCAAAAACAGCAGTGAATGTTGTAAGAAGTTTCTGATAGTTTCACAAAACATTAACTTAGATATGAATGAACCGTACCAAGTTCACAAGTGTCCAATGCAATATGACAATGCACATTATGTTAGGTTTAATCTAAGACAGTGGTCTCCAACCTGTAGCTCGAGAGCTACCAGTAGCTCACCAACCCCTTTGGCAGCTTGACACATGATCCTAAATTATGAAAAAGAGTCATTAACTATGACTACAACTATACATGTTTTCATTATGTTTACTAATGTGGGGTTTTGCAGAAATATGGGACATTTTACACTCTTGTCCATGAACTTCTGCTGATATTACACGGACAAATTTTCATAACATTAAAACAAGAGTAGCTCTCTGTCATGTTTGTTGTTCGAGACCCTTGATCTAGAAGTATATTTCATTTCGCATTTAGGGCCACCATCTCTGCATTATCCCATATCTCCTCACCCACGCCTCCTATCATGTTGAGCAGGCCACTCGGCACATTGTATGGTAATCAACATTTGCCCGATAACAACTGATAACTCCTTTGCTTGGAGCGGAGAGCGTGAGTGACATTTTTACACAGCAGTAAAATAAGCACAACAGGCCATAAAGCTGTTGAACGTTTTCTCACGTTGTATACACAGTGTGAACAAATAGCAAACGGGACGTGCAGCGTGGCTCTTGTCTCCAGGGGTGGAGGGAGTGTCAGCTTCCCCACAGAAAAGCTTTCATCCCGGCCTTATCAGAGCCGGTGCAGAGGGTATTGTTGGCTGCTGGTGCAAAACGGACAAGACTATGGCGCTTTTGTATCGGACCTGTCTCCGTCCTGGGTTTGACGTCCGCCCATGTGCACCATGGTCTAGTTAAAGCAGGTGTGGTTTAGGTAGATAGGCGGCGGTTTAGAACAGATTCTCTCTGGGTACGGTACTGTCGAAAATGTCAGACACTTAGAAGCGGGCCTTATTTCAGTGTCCAGTTTTTTCAGTTTTTTCAGACAGAATGAACACAGAGCAATGCTTTTAATGGTCTGTCCACCTTAAAGGTCTGATCACTGAGTATTATGTCTAGTGTTCGTTTTGTAAAGACCAGATTCTACAGTAGTTATTATTTGATGCACTCCCTTTGCAAAAGATGTACTGATCTGTGACAAAAATCCTCATGTTTTTGTTTTACTTATGTAACTATGGTCTGGAGAATTCTTGTTTCTATAAATGCACAGTGTTTGATGTAATAAAATAAGCTCAACAAATGATATAATGTGATAAACTAACACCAGTGTGATCAGTCCCCTGAATAGACAGGATGTTATGTAATGTATACATGGATCTCCCAGGTCACAGATGCTGACTTGTATTATGTGACTTTATATAATAAAGAATCCTGCTGGCCAATATAGGTGCCCATAATTACAATCAACGATGGTATATTGAAGACACACATGAATAGATGGTACTTTCTTTCTCTTGAACCATCACTAAAGAGCGTCTGGACCAAAGGAAAGTCGCCTGTAACGCTGGAGCAGGAGCTGATGCAGGAGTTGTAGCTGGAGCAGGAGCAGAAGCTGTAGCTGGAGCAGGAGCCGGAGCATATGCACCTGTAAATCATGCCTATTATCACCCTGCTGTGAGCTGCAGCCTCTAAAGCCGTGATGGACGACACCAGATGATCAGTGCTGAACACTTCATTTCCATAATGCCGCATTAACATTTTAGAGCACTGCCATTACCTAAGTTTATTGTTCTTCCATGCCAGTGCAAAAAGGCTGATTATTTTATCCATAACGGTCTGACTTTTGCAAAAACATGCAGAAAATATTTCCATTAGAGGTTCAACAATGTAATAAACAGTGTTCCAGAGTTTATCAGTATTTTGTGTTTATCGTTCATGCTCTGACCTGTCTTGGTTGGTTCTGAGTATCATGTTTCTTTATGGACCTGAAGTTTTATCGCTGCACCATTGAAAGTTTGCTTGTTGGTTTTCTGACTGTGTGGTTTGGAAACATCACAGACAAAGAAAGGAGAGCTCTAAACAAGGTGCTCCGCTCTGCAAAGAGGACTGTGAGCTGTGAGTTTCCTGTTCTGGAGGTTCTTTATGAATCCAGACTTTTAAACCGAGCTCTTAGAATAATCAATGACTCTTCTGGCCACCCTGATGCAGGACATCTCAATATGCTAACAGCTTCTTTCCACAAGTTGTTTTCAGTTTGAACAGGGCACTTTAATGATCTTGCCTTTGAATTGAAATGTTCACACTCTCAATTGTTTACTGTTTTGTTGTTTTATTTCTGAACTTCTAACCGTGTTATATGTATGTACGTGTCTTGTGCACACTGGAGACTTTTGCAAATGTATTCCAATGTGGTTTTAATGCAAAGAGCAAATAAATAAATCTGAATCTGATTTATAACTTCTCCAACTCTGTTCTGCAAATTCTGTTTTCTTGTTAAATTAAATAGACATTTAAGGGATTCACTCTTTAAAGTGACCATAATGTATTACACACACTTAGTGGTCTAATAAAGTCATTACAAATACAATCACACTTTTGTTGCAAGTATCTTCTTTCTCCTGAGCACTACTGTACTTGCTGATGCAAACCAACTGCTGGAGTTTAGCTAGAAACTGTAAAAACTGTAATGATTACATATTTATATTCTATGTTTGTATAATTGAAAGCAAAGGACCAATGCACAATTTCCTTTTGAATTAATAAAGTATCTATCTATCTATCTCTATCTATATGACTACTCCATTTTGTATCTGCTTTCATTTGAAAAAAAAAAATAAAAATAGGAATTTTGTTATCGCTCTCTGATTGGATAATCTGCTTGAAAATCGTAAATGGAAATATCATGGACGTCATACCTATTAGACTTAGAATTATAAATACCTCATGTATAACTGTTACATTTGTAAATGTTGCCCTACTATCTGGGAACACACAAAACAGATGGAGATTGGATGGATTAAGATTACCCACGAGATGTTGCCAAATTGCTAAATATTGCCCAATCCTCTCTTAAACCCACACTGACAATACAAGAAAGGCCATGTGTGTTGTTTTTGTACAAGAACAAGACTTCAAGAGGGATTACTCTCTGAGGTGTAAATGTCAAGACCACACTGACCCACACGGACAGACAAACAACTCCTAAATCCACAATTACAAGAAAAAATCGAAAAGGTCGCAGAAATCAATTCCTCGGCTGATCTCAGTATTCCATTAGAAAAAGCAGCAGGTAAGTGGATATTGAAGTGTCCACCGAGGTCCTCTGTCCTGGCTCATCATCAGCTTCAACACCTTTGTCCCATCGTTCTAATGCAATCCAGTTTTCAATTTTCAGCTCGGAATCACTTCATTTGACAGGTTCATTTGATGTGAGGGAAGTGAGATATTCTGTGGGAAAATTACTTTACACATCATTATTTATTCTGACTTTGATTGATTCTTTAAAACTGGTACTTTTTTCCTTTAAAGAAGATATATTATGACTTCTTTAAAGGAAAAAAGTACCAAGAAATATTATGACTTCATTTTGTTCCATTAAAGTATAATGAGACCATTTCATGTCTTTTCAAGATTTGTAATGTGAAAAACATAATTTAAGTGGGACAGGATATAAAACATTCTAGACTTCTAAACTTAACTTTTTGCAATTGACTGACTCAGAGAATTGGATCTCTTGTCTTGAGCAAATGTTGACGCACATGCTTAATACACACAAATAATATTCAAAGGTGGTCAAGTATGAAGGGTAGAAAATGCTTTCCAGTGGGAGGACATATGACAATTACTGGCTGCAAACACACACAGTAAAGAGACTGAAAAGAGAAATACCAAAATGAGCAGCACTTTTGTTTGTGTGGTACAATGACGTCATACTGAGACTGAGACTGGAGCTTTCAGACAGAAGTGGCAGAGTTACATGTACTGTATGTGCAAGAATGTTCTTGATATAGGCACGGACGGATATAAAAACAACTCCAGGTCTGGATTGCGAAGAGCTCAAAAAAGATAATTTAGCATAATATTTTTCCTAATATAAAATCACCCTTTGTGCTGTGATTTGACAGCAGCGGCCGACTGCTCAGGTCTGCACTGGACATATGGAGGTGACGGCTGTGAGGGTCTACCCAGGCTCCTCTGCTCTGCGTGACACTGGCCTGGCACTAGAGGGCGGAGTGATGGAAGGACCTCTGTCTCGCCCCTCTCATGATGTCCTACAGGCGGGACATGTGGGCCTGCAGCTGCCACATGCACACAGCCTCACTGAGCAGGAGAGAGAGGGAGCAATGAACAGGTGCAACAAGAAAACGCCACAACACTCAAACAGCGTTCATGCTGTGAGGGGGCGCAACGGTCAATTGATCCATGTATATTAAAAAAGAAAAACAGAAATGTCCTCTTATTGTGTTGTGAATGTTGGCACATTCAATTGTGCTTTAAAACAGTTTGAGTTTCAGGGGCAGGTTACCAAAGCAAAGCCCACCCTTGCATGGCTTATCGTTCATACTTTTTGTCCTCCTTCTTGTTGCCGTTGATGTGTTATTGCTTTTCTTGGAATGTTGCTCAATTTGGTCTTAAACTATGATTCAAGGTTTAACTTTGTTGTCCGCAAAGGGATATTTATCTTAGGCTCACAGGGCTGTTGGACACAAACATACAAGACAATCTCAACAGTTGGACAATCTGCACAATTTCAACATAAGAATATGCCATATTATTGCATGTATATAGTGCTTTAAAAAATATTCTACTCTCCATAAATATAACTTGTGACTTAGCTTAAGTCACATGCTCACTTCCAATGTCACTGGAAAGTTCTGTCCTGGCAAAATACCGACATCTAGATGACCCAAAGCACAAAAAGGACCCTCCACCACGCTAGACTGTTTTAGAAAGCACCTGTAAGTCTAGCCTTGATCACACAGAGAACTTCAAGATAAATGTTTTTTTAAATGGATCACAAAAAAACAAAAGATTTACTCAGCCACAGAGATAACCAAGCATCTGACAGATAGTGTCAGCATTATAGATACCGGTGGAATCTTCAAAGTGAGAAATAAAAAGTAAATCATGTCTTTTTACAGTGTTTGTGATCTCCTGCTTTCCAATGTATGACAAAAATAAGAACCACATTATTAGCTTAAAAGTTTACATTGATGGATTTTCAAATAAACTGTAAGAATCAGGGCCACAACTATACATCAAGCACTAGATTGGGGTTTTCAATCACTTTAAATCCAGAATCCTTTGCCGTCATTCATGAGAAAGTTTTCATGCAAGTTTATATCCCAAGAAATTATTCTGCCGCTTTTTTTAGCTTGTATTTTTCACAAACTACACTATGATAAAAGATCGGCCCTCTGAATGGTTAGGGCTATAAAGAATTGCGTTTGTTCATGGCACTGGTCAGCAGAGATACAGAGAAATAATATAGAGAATCCATTCATACAACATTTTTGATTTGTGTGAGCCATAGACAGAGGCGTATTTTTAGCGCCACTGTTCAGATATAATAGCACTGACTTCATTACAACTAAGCACCAAAACATGAGAGCCCTCTGGTAGTGGACAGGACAGAGGCTGGGGGACAATTTACCAGCGCCAGGAGCCAAACAGAAGAACCGGCCGTTTGTGTGTCCGGAGTGCAGCCCCACGGTCATGAATGAGCAAGTGTCCAAACCCACACAGCCTTACAAATGAAGCGCTGAATGTAAATTGTCTGACGAGAGCCATAAATCTAAGTTCGGCTGCAGCTGTGAGAGCGCAGATAGGCCCGCGGACCACAACAGAGAAGGGAAACACCACGCACTGCTGCAGGCAAAACATAACTGCAAATGGACCTTGTTATGCTCAGCTAAATTCACAAAATAGCCCCAAAAAAGACGCGGAGTACAACAGTGTTCGTTTGAAGGGGGGAGGGGGTATTGTTGCCATCGCAGTCTGTGAAATAGCTGCAATCCATTTTAGTCACCTGACAGTTTAAACCATTAGCAACCAGTGTGACACAGTTTCATTTAAGATTGGACCATTTGGGTTCAGTGTTTACTTCCACAAAAATCCAATTTCTAGAGTATGCTTCAGGGACGTGCAGTCAGGGGAGGCAGGGGAGGCAGAGCCTCACCTGCCATTATTGGAAACTAATAATTATTTTAGTTTAAATATATAATTTATATCCACTGTCCTATGCTTTTAATGTATATTCGGCACGGTTCCCATCAGTTTTGATCATTTCTGAAGTCAAAATCGCCGAAATCCCGTTATTCCTATTCAAAGAGACGAGGTGAGGCAGCGCTCCTGCGTGCCTCACCCCAGACCGCTCCCTCACAGTGTGTGTGTGTGTGTCTGAGTGCACTCAGCTCGTGCAGTTGATATATCACCGTTTGTTTCAAATATCCTGCTTTAAAAACATTTTTTAAACTCCTCTTAGTGTTTAGTAGTGTATTGCACGTATGTGTGTACAATTTATATTTAGTTTAAGTCTTTTGATCGTAGATGAACACACAAGGAAAAAGCTTGGCGTGAGGCAGGCGGTATCTGTGCCTCACCGCTAGGGGTGATAGTGAGCATAAAGTTCATACCAGAGTTGCTAACAAACAATCAGCCCAAAATGCTATTTCTTTTGCTGGAAAATGGATGATTTGAATGAAGATTTTTTTTCTCAATTGGACTTTCAAACAAAGAAAGAATTAATATAGACTGGGAGACCACCACTGGACTTACGAGGTTAGTCCGGCTGCGGGGGAGGAGTTTGTTAATCTGTGTTTTATGTTGAACATTGACAGATACCGGCAAAGTAGTGCTTTTCCGAAAAACACTGATTCAAACACTGCTCAAGAGTTCTGCAACTTGTTTAAATTATTGTTTATGTTCCTCGCGTCTCTCTCTCCTCGCGTCTCTCTCTCCTCGCGTCTCCGTCTCTCTCTGCTCCTCGCGTCTCCGTCTCTCTGCTCCTCTCTGTCTCTCTCTGCTCCTCTCTGTCTCTCTCTGCTCCTCTCTCCTCGCGTCTCCGTCTCTCTGCTCCTCTCTGTCTCTCTCTGCTCCTCTCTGTCTCTCTCTGCTCCTCTCTCCTTGCGTCTCTCTCTCCTCGCGTCTCCGTCTCTCTCTGCTCCTCTCTCCTCGCGTCTCCGTCTCTCTGCTCCTCTCTGTCTCTCTCTGCTCCTCTCTGTCTCTCTCTGCTCCTCTCTGTCTCTCTCTGCTCCTCTCTCCTTGCGTCTCTCTCTCCTCGCGTCTCCGTCTCTCTCTGCTCCTCGCGTCTCCGTCTCTCTGCTCCTCTCTGTCTCTCTCTGCTCCTCTCTCCTCGCGTCTCTCTCTCCTCTCTGTCTCGTCTCTGCTCCTCGCGTCTCCGTCTCTCTGCTCCTCTCTGTCTCTCTCTGCTCCTCTCTGTCTCTCTCTGCTCCTCTCTCCTCGCGTCTCTCTCTCCTCGCGTCTCTCTGCTCCTCTCTGTCTCTCTCTGCTCCTCTCTCCTCGCGTCTCTCTCTCCTCGCGTCTCCGTCTCTCTCTGCTCCTCGCGTCTCCGTCTCTCTGCTCCTCTCTGTCTCTCTCTGCTCCTCTCTCCTCGCGTCTCTCTCTCCTCGCGTCTCTCGCACCTGCGCTTCTTAAAGATGTTGTTTGATGCGGAGCAGAGTCAGCAGCTAGATTTGTTGTGAGATTATTAAAAGAAGCTGGTTCTCTTATCTTTACAGTATATAAAGTTTGTGGATGTCATTGCATTGGTGATTAAATGCTATTTTATTTGAATAATGATTGTAAATCTGACTTTTAAAGTCAGTGCCTCCCCAATCACAAACCTCACCGCACGTCACTGGTATGCTTATATTATTTTCTATGCTTGTTTGTTGTATGGTATAACAGTGGATAATGTATTTGTGAATATCCTTTTAGAGCAGTTTTAACACTGTTTAAATAGAGGGTAGACCCAAAGGAATACTGCAGCCAATGATTTAAAGCTTATATCTGTTTTTTTCTCCTGTTAGAACTAATTTAAGTAACATGCTGTCCTCATCTTATTAGAAATCTTTTGCCTACATTTTTTTGTGATTTCAAAGTTAGGTACACCAGTTTTAGTAAAACAATGGAGAAAATGTACTAAAAAACGTTATAAAATAAAAGATTGTCTTGTTTTTAACCACAAACCAACAACTAGTTCTACATTCACTGCCCTGACAAAGACTTATGTCAAAACCATAGACTGTAAATATTAACGGACGTAGTCACGCCTATCTCCGCCGTTCTAACTAATGTGTCACAACTTCCGCGGTCTATGGTCAGTTTCAAAATGGCCGCGGGGGCTGGAAAATGTGAAAAACGCATCTGCGCATGCGTCAGCCGGCACAAGCCGCATTCATTTAAAGAGTGACTTCAAAAATTCACAGCAACTAAACTAGACTGGTTCAAAAAATTAAAGTCCCCTCAGCATTGACACACATGTGGAACGGAGCTTTGGGCCAAGAGCCAACTTTTGGACGATCCTGCAAAGACGTTTTCCAGAGGTCAGCTAATGCAATATGTCAGCATTGAATAATTCTTCTTCTGGGTCCATCCCCATCGGCCCGGGGTGGTATTGCAAGCATGTCAGCGCACGTCATTTTGGCCACTTTTGAGCCGGGACCCACTGGTCAAAACGTGTCGGCTCAACTTTATATTAAAAACACAGTTTTCAGAGTGCCTCCTTCTCCTTTTTGGTTGAACTAGTCAAACATGTAGCAGTAAACATTCCATTGTAATGAATGTCAACAAACAGGTGTGGTGTTTACAAAAACAATTTGTAAAATTGGGAGTGTTGAGGAGTTCATTGTGCACCTGCGCTGGCCAGCACGGGTAAAGCCCTCTTAGCTGTAGCCCTGTATAATGAGCAGGTGGCATCCCAATGTGCCACACTGCTGGAATACAAGTACAGTCACATTCAGTCTGTGCCAAGTGGAAGGAAAAACACAATGAAAAGAGGAATATACAAATGGCAAAGGAAAGGACTCCTGAGTTATATGCATTATTATAATTATCTGTATTACTGTGAAGCATTACCTTTCATTAAAAGGGCTGACATTTCCTTTAATGTTTTTGACAATATAGCTTAAAGTTTAGGGGTTTTTTTCTCCGCCAGGGCCTTAACCGGTGTTGGTTGGTTAAAGCAATAGTTTGGTGTAAAAAAAACAAAAACTAGGTATAATATGCTATGGTAGCATGTAATGATTTCAAGCCTTCATTGGGTATTGACTCCCATTCGTTTAAATAGGCCATGTCAATATTAACACTTAGTAAAAGTATGTAGAGAATCGATTGTGAGACAAAATATTGCATTTCAATACTTTGGCAAACCCACAGGAAGCATGCTCTTCATTTAATCATGAACTATCTATGTGACAGCTGCATAACCTGAGGGTTTAAAAGAAACAGAGTTTCTGCCTGACGTTTGAGGACAGAGTCACACTGACACACTTCTGCCCGCGGTGCACTTCCCTTTCATTATTTGGCACTTTTTTAAGCACTGCCAATGAGCGCGGTTGGCTTTTCCTGACTGTCATATAGACACCGCAGAGCATTTAGCAGTAACTGGATCCCAAACACACACACACAGACAAATGCACACACACACAAACACACACACAAGCACACACACGCACACACAAACACACACACAGGCACATACACGCACACACACACTGAAGGCAGTTTTCTTGGACATGTGCCACTGCAGAGGACACCTACAGAGCAAACAGGAAAAAAAGAAGACCATATGGCCCGTTGGAGGATCCACATTTTAAGTATTAGAAAAATGCTTAATTTGCAAGAATAGAAGTCTCTTTTGAATTGCTATTGTGCACTTATCAGTGGTAAACACAGGAAATTATGATTAAAAAATGCTTTCAAGACATAGGACGGCACTGATAAATGTCTATTGTGGACTTCGTGGATTTGTAAATAGTAGTAATTTTAAGAAATGTTCTTCATGTTAAGATTTTTTTAATGCATGCCTTTACCAATTTTTACTTGTTTGCACCTTGAGCAAAAGCAAATTTGGAGTTTGTGACTTCCTGGTACTTACAATGGCGATACAAACAATTCACATCATGAATCATTCAGATCGTCCTGGGTTCTAATCCCAGTCGGAAAGGAGTCTTTATTTGTAGGTTTCCTCCGGGTGCTCTGGTTTCCCCTGCCACCAAAAACTGTATCATAGGTCTGGCATGCGCCTCCTCTATGCCGACCTTGCTTCCATCTTTGTGAGAGACAAACGCCCTCAACAATTGGAAGGCGCTTTGTGACTCTGGTCTCAAAGGCACTAAATAAATGAAGATTTCTTACTTACTAGGTGCACAAAGATGAAGAAATTAAAAAGTAAAACATTGCCAGTAAATGAAATGAATTGAAACCAAAAATTGCACACAATAATTGTCTGCATTCAATTATTGTTATTAAAAGAAGCAAAATATTTTTTTCTGTTCTAGATTTAAGAATAATATTTGTCTTCCTTGCAACGTGCACTCTAAAACCACTGTTCAAATATAACTTGTCAGTTTTAAAAGTCAGACGTCAATTGATTAACTATACTCAATTGTGCATATTTATAAAAAGGACATAATTTGATATTTCGCACCATCAGTCCCTGTATTTGTGTTTGTAAAAAAAAAAAAACTGAATCTGAAAATCACAGTGGTACAGAATATTGTCTGTTCATTAGTATATATAGCAATGGAAATGTT